ATTATAACTATGGAATCATAATGAAAATTGAAGACATACTAGCAGTTTAGTATCGAAAATTTTATTTTTGATTTCTTTTACCTTTAATTAATTTTATGTGGCAAAATGGAGATTAAGGCATATTCCTTTAATAATAGTTTTTGATTTGGAGCCCATAAAAGCAATTTTCGTATGGTTCATTTCAAAAGGACAGCTCTAGAGATTAAAGGATAACATAACTTTAATATTTTTATAACCCACGCATTTAAGACAACGATTGGACACAGCTGGGGCGACGAGGATTTGGGTCAGGCAGGGAGAAAAGACAAGACAGAAGGAAAAGTTTACCCAAAACGGCAAAACAACTATGATTGGTTTGTGAGTGCAGTGGTGTGTTGTATTATGGCGATAAGTATATATTTTTTTAATTTCAAAATATATAAAATATTAATTAAAATTAATAAAAAAGATATTAAAATTAATTAATTTTTTTTAAAAGAGAATTTTATATTTTTAAATAAAATTTTGTGTAAAAAAATTCGTATATAGCATACAAACGAACCCTTAGTGGTGAGTGACTCGGAGTGCAGAAAAAAGATTAGATATATTAGGGATAAGGAAAAAGGCCAAGAAAGGAGAAAGAGAGACAACTAGTTGCAAAACAATCAGCCAGAAGTTAATTAAGCTGGTAATATTAAGGCAGGCCGGTGGCATTGGAAGTGGACGATGCTTATCTTTTCCAGGGTAGAGGGCCTCACTACAAGAAAAGTGATTTTTAGTGACAAAAATTTGTGATGAATTTTGAAATTATCACTATAATTAATTACAATTGTGATAAATTTAAAAAATTAGTCACATATACACACATATTTAATGATGATGAAAAAAATTTATCATTAAAAATATATTTTGTCACCGAAAAATGTTCATAGAGATAAAATAAGTTTTTGTCAATAAAAATTGTCACTATAATTTATTATAATTATGACAAAATTCTAATATTGGTCATATATAACCAAATGTTCAACAATAACATAAAAAAATCATCACTAAAAATATATTTTATCACTAAAAAATTGTCATAAAGATAATATTGA